ATTCATTTACATGTACTTGTATAACATATGAGAGTATTTGTTGATGGGGAGAAACTTTGGAGAAATTGTCTAAATTGATAGGCTGGCCAATTAAATTTTGGTAACTTCATTAACTCCTAACACTTGGCAGCTAATAATTGACAATAATTTTTGAGTTTCAATTTGGAGTATTCTTGTAATTTAAGGACTTGACAAATTTAATCCCTCACCAATAAATCTTGCAATACAGTACATGTACATGTATATCCTTATAAGGAAAGAGAGTGTCCTTCCCTCTACAAAGAGTGTGTCTGGTGTATTAGTATACATTGAATCATTGAGTATCTATGACTGGACACATAAGTAGGACTAGGACTAGGGTAGTAGGAGGAGGAACACCTAGTGACAATATTACATAAATACCCAGTGGAAGAGATACAAACTACTACACTACTAGATGAGGGTCCCATTACTGACATTGTTATGATAACACATTATACTATCTACAATACACTGGACTAATGTTTACTGGTATTCCTAATTTAGTGGATTTCATTCATCATCTAACACAATTTGTAAATAATTAAATTCAAGGAAATTCAATTATGATGGTATAATTAATCCTGGCCCAAAATGGAGGTTTCAATCTTCATAAAACCATATATGCCAAATACGTATACGTTTGCAAAATCAAAATAAGCCAAATAGCATCCTGATTGCATAGTAGTTATGGTACGTAATTACATTAAAATCAAGAAATTTATATTCAAAAATACAAAAATGCACCGAAAGTTACAAAATTTTATACCCACAAATTATATGGTGTATCTTGACGGTACACATGAGGTTATTCAATGTTGGCTAAACTTTTCATTATTTTATTTAAAATTAAAATTCACCAAAAATGTAAAATTATGATGGAAAAAAATTTGTGAATAGTATGCAAAATGCACCATGTGGCAAGAAAAATGCAAATTTTTGTAAATTTTAATTTAGCAACAGAGCAAAAACATAAAAGTTAGGAAAACATTTACCAAAAAATAAACTTGTTTTAATGGAGTGATAATAATGACATTAAACCATTCAATGATAAAATTTACTAGACCTATAAACCCCAGTCTATGGTATATTGGAATGTCTTAAGGTACATGTACATGTACATGGAGTTGGTTGATACTGTATAGTAGGAAATTTTTACTGCCAAATACTTTCGCTTTCTTTCCAAACTGGCTTTAGAAGATATTTTTATTAATTTTATTTTCGTTTTACCTTGTTAATCTATCATTAAATTATTCACTGTGGATGCCCACTTAATTTATGCCACATGCATGGTTAAGATGAAGAA